ATCTGAATTTTCTGTGCTGGGGATGTGGCTCAAGCGGTAGCGCGCTTGCCTGGAATGCGTGCGGCCCGGATTCGATCCTCAGCACCACATACAAAGATGTTGTGTCTGCCGAAAACTAAAAAATAAATATTAAAATTTCCCTCTCTCTCTAAAAATAGATCTGAGTTTTCTTTCTTTCTTTTTTTTTTTTTTTAAGAGAGAGAGAGTTTTTTTAATATTTATTTTTTAGTTTTTGGCAGACACAACATCTTTGTTTGTATGTGGTGCTGAGGATTGAACCTGGGCCGCACGCATGCCAGGCGATCACGCTACCGCTTGAGCCACATCCCCAGCCCCAGATCTGAATTTTCTATCAACTGATTTTCTCATCTGCTCAATCTAGTGACCACAAGGCACTCAGTAGAATGTGCTTTGGATCATCCCATATTTGTCAACATATCTGGGCCTCCTGAGCCAGCCAGATGTCTGGACTGGCCTTAGAGCTTCTGGACCAGCTACCACACCCTGTATTAGCCCTGCCTTCCCACTTTTTCTACCATGCCAGGTAGTTCTGCAGCTGCCAAGCTTGTCATTCTTCCTCCTGCACACCCAGCTATTTGGGTACTGCAAATGCCAGGTGAGGTACCTCAGTTTCTACCAGTCCTGCTCTTCTTGCCCTCCAGGTACAGGGTAGGTGTGGGGCAGGTAGCCAGGGAGAGATGAGGTGTCTCCCAAGCTAAGGATTGCTGAGATTGGACTGCAGCTGAATCAGGGCATTAACCCATCTGGAACAAAAAGCTCAGTTGGATCAAAGGAAAGACACCACACCAAGGGAATCTAAGTAACCAGAATGTGGCCTCTGCTCAGATGCAAGACAGTTTCTCTCCCTCATCAAAGTTAGATCAAGTGGCCCCCACCTCTTCCTGTTCTCTGCATTATCTGTTTAAGACCTACCACAAACCCAGCCACAAATTAGAAAATTAACTCTCCTGGAAATTCATAGTTGGAGTCATCCAGAGAAGACTTCTGGGATCAAAAAGTTGAAGCCTTAATTCAGAATTGAAGACCAAAGGGTATGGCCTTCCGGGAGCATGGCCTTCAGGGAGCCCTCAGGGAGCCAGTCTGAGTCTGACCACTTTCTATACTGCTTTGTGTTGGAGGAAGGAAATGTCCTCTGTTAAAGTATTTGAACAGAAAAAGAAGATAGAATTAGGTAAAAGGTTGCTATAAGGGAACCTGAAAACACTCTACTACCGCTCAATAACCCCTGTGGGGTGAACCCAGAATCTTGCAAAAAGGAGACAACGCACCAGGTATTTTCTCTCATCTAGACCCACTTCGGTACACCTCTTCCCTCCCTGCCTCCAGTACTGTCACACACTCAGGTCTGGTGGTTTGTTCACCCTGATTTCCTGGAAACTCCACCTACCATCCAACCTCTCCCAGGTCCACTCATCTGGCTGCAGCCAGAGACCATGCTTGACAGTGAGGTAATTGGGTGGGGTCAGGGCAGGGAGGGACCTCAGGTTGGGTCCTCATTCTCCTGTTTCTGTTACAGTAGTAGTTCTTGGGCCCAAGGCTGGAAAATACCACACAAGTCTTTGTCCCAGACACTAACTCCACTACCTGTGGCTCCCTAAGACATCTCTTTCCAACATTCCATCAGTCATCCAAGAAGCAATCTTAGCAGTGTGCTTTTTAGGAAGGTGGCTTGAAAGTAGGAGAAAGGAAAGATCTTGGAACCTGAAACCCAAACATTTACTACCCCTTCTGTTTTTTTGTTTTGTTTTGTTGTACCAGGGATTGAATCCAGGGGCGCTTAACCACTGAGCCACATCCCCAGCTCTTTTTTATAGTTTTTTGGAGGTAGGGTCTCGATTAGTTGCTTAATGCCTTGATAAGTTGCTGATGCTGGCTCTAAATTTGCAATGCTCCTGCCTCAGCCTCCCAAATCTGTGGGATTACAAGTGTGCACCAGTGCACCTGGTCCTCACCTCTGCTGTTTGTTAGCTGAGTTACCAGAAGCAACTCATCCATTGCAATTATTGTAGGTATTCCCGTCCTACCCCATAAGATGGGGTAAATTCCATCCTGTGAGAATCAAGTAAGAATGGCCACACACAAGGTTCAGCACAGGCCAGGTGTGGTAGTGCACACCTGTAATTCCAGCAACTTGGGTGCCTGAGGCAGGTGGAACTCAAGATTAAGGCCAGCCTCAGCAATTTAGTGAGGCCCTAAGCAATTTAGCAAGATTCTGTCTCTAAATAAACTGAGGATGTAGTTCAATAGCAAAGTGTCCCTGGGTTCAATTCCTAGAGTCCAAAAAAGAAAAAAAAAATCATTACCAACCACAAAATCCACAGAAAGAAAAACCAGGTGAAAATTGCTTATCTTGCAGTTTCCTAAACTTATTTGTGAAACTAGAACCTTTTGTTGAATCATTTTATGATAATGTATATACTCTACATATATAAAATACATATTTTCTTATTCATGAACAATGGTTCAATCAACATTATTTTTTAAAATATTTATTTTTTAGTTACAGGTGAACCACGATATCTTTATTTTATTTTTATTTGGTACTGAGGATGGAACCCACTGTCCCACACATGCTAGGAGAGTACTCTACCTCTGAGCCACAACTCTAGCCCCTCAATCAATATTCTCGTACATATATACCATGTATTTATGTAGTATAAATTCCTAGAAGTGAAATTGCCATATCAAGAAAACATTTGAGCTGGGCATGGTGGCATATGCCTGTAATCCCACTCACTTGGGAGGCCGAGGCAAATTTGAGGCCAGCCTGCACAATTTAGCAAGGCCCTAAGCAACTTAGTGAGACTGTGCCTCAAAGTAAAAAAATAAAAAGGACTGGGAATGTAGTTCAGTAGTAAAAGTGCCCCTGTGTACCATCCCTAGTACCCTGTGAAAAAAGAAAAGATTTGAAGCCATATAGATATATAAATATATGTGAAGCCATATAGATATATAAATATATATTTATATTATATAAATAAATATATAATAAAATAAATAAAAATTACTTATTTTTTAATTTAGTGGTACTGGGGCTACCATTGAGCTATATCCCTAACCACTTTTATTCTTTAGTTTGAGACAGGGTCTTGCAATTTGCCCAGGCTGACCTCAAACTTGCTATCCTCTTGCTTCAACTTCCCTAGTTACTGGGATTACAGGAATATGCCACTGTACTTGGCATATTTTCTTTATAAACGCATTGAAAAGGTCTAGAAGGCCACAGGCCAAACTTAAGAGGAGCTATCTGTTCTGAGGGGTTTGGGTTTAGGAAGAGGAAAGGACGACAGGAAGAGATGACAGAGGATAAGACGACAGAGAGACCTGTGTGTTTCCATGAGGGGTCAGTCTTCCATTGGTGCTGTGGAGCAGCAGCTAGGTGTCTCTGTGTGGGTGTTCTGGCCTTCTGTTCAGTATGTGTTTATCGAGATCATGCATCTTTGGTATCCTGTCCTCATTACATGTTCAGATGTGGATTTCTTATTCACTCTAGTTTGGAGGGGTTTCTTGATTTTGTAGATTCAAGTTTTCCACCCAGTCATTTTTTAATTTTGTTTTATAAATTATTTATTTATTTTGTGGTACTAGGGATTGAATCCAGGGCCTCACCATGCCAGGCAAGTGCTCTTTACTGAGCTACATCCCCAGCCCCTATTGTTTCTTCTTCTTCTTTTTTTTTAAATATTTATTTTTTAGTTTTAGGTGGACACAATATCTTTACTTTATTTATATGTGATGCTGAGAATCGAACCCAGTGCCTCACGCATGCTAGGCAAGCACGCTACCACTTGAGCCACATCCCCAGCCCCTCTATTGTTTCCTTAAAAATTGTTTTTCTCCAGTGGCTCAGGAGGCTGAGGCAGGATCCAGAGGATCACCTCAGCAACTTAGCAAGTGTTAGGGTCTGTAAACAAGTCAAGACGGCACCTGGTTTTGCCAGAGGGAGTGGTTTGTGAAGTAACACCAGCGAGCCATTAAGTGTGGAGATTCCTTATTGGTTGACTGCTGTATCTAGTTTATGTTAATTAAGATAAGCTGTGTGTAATGTATATATACCCCTCCGGTCCTACAATAAAAGGCTCCCACTCCTGTTGTATCAATGTACACAAGTTGCTCATCACCCCCTGGCTATTTTGCTGTAGCCGGACTGCGGCAGATGGTGGTCCATATGGGGAGCCCAGGGACACTCTGGGGTAAGTTGACGAGGAAAAGCTGCCCGTCCCTAGATAGGACGGAAGCAAATCTGCTCGTCCCTAGGCAGATAGGGCAAGAGGAAAAATGGCCATTTTGAGAAAATGGAGAGGATTGATACAGTATGTTTGTGTCTTGTTTTGTCTTGAAATGTTGTATTGTCTTTGTGACGAAAATATGGAAGGGGTGAGAAGTAAATTACTAAGGGAAGAAGGCACGCCAGTGGAACCAAGAATAGTTATGGCATGTGTTGATGGAAGCCCAGGAACTCTAGTCAGAAAGAAGAAAGTTCAGAGGAGGAAGGATTATCAGGAAAAAAGTTGCAGCAAAAGGCTATTACTAAATACTTTTCGTTACCGGAGGGTGCGTGAATCGTCGCAGTGGCTGCTGCCACGTGCACGAGCCGGTCATGGCGCAGCAAGGACTTTCCAAGCCAGCCGGCTCTTCCTCACCCCCCCCCCCCACGCCCGGGGAGCGGGACGCCACTGTGAGAGCCCAAATCCAAACCTGACCCAGAGGCACAGTCTCACAGGCTCTTGCTCCCTGTGCCCAGTGGCAGTTTGAGTCCGGGACACTCCCCGGACTCTCCCCAGGGCCATCTGGGGATGCCCGGGATGCTGCAGGCGGAAGACGGCTGCATCCCTGAAGTTTGATCATTTCCAAGGCCAGTAACTACATGGTTCTCCCACACCTGGAAGCTAATGAGTAATGAGCACTATTAAGGCTTATTTCAAAAGTAAAAAACCTTGAGATAATGTACTAAATTGTTCAGAAGGTTGTTTTCTTAGGGCCTGCTGGAATACTACAGGATATTCTTTAGCATCATTGCCGGAGTTCCTGCCTTCATCCCAGTGCCAGTGAGGACGAGGGTGGAAGGATTTCCAGTGTTGCTGAAAACCGGACAAAACTTCGGCTGAAAACCGGACGAGACTTCAGATCAAGCTAGCTGCCTGCAGAACTTACCTGAACTGTGATTTAAGCTAGCTGCTTGCAGAACTTACCTGGACTGTGAACTTACCTGGACTGTGATTTACCTGGACTGTGAGTTAATCTATTGAGACACTTCTTTACCTGGACTGAGACAACAAACTGTAATCTACAACAAATTGTAACTCGGTATCTTTGCTAAAGGTGTCATTGCTGGTATAATTTTTCCAAGGGCTTCTTGCATGGAGCCATCAATTGGCTTGATATTGTGGCATTTTGTATCCTCCCCTTCTGCTTGTAGCAGATTATTTATGGTGTTTGTGTAAAAACCACTATGGTCGTTATTTAAATTAAATAAAAGGGGGAAATGTTAGGGTCTGTAAACAAGTCAAGACAGCGCCTGGTTTTGCCAGAGGGAGTGGTTTGTGAAGTAACACCAGCGAGCCATTAAGTGTGGAGATTCCTTATTGGTTGACTGCTGTATCTAGTTTATGTTAATTAAGATAAGCTGTGTGTAATGTATATATACCCCTCCGGTCCTACAATAAAAGGCTCCCACTCCTGCTGTATCAATGTACACAAGTTGCTCGTCACACCCCGCCCCGCTATTTTGCTGCAGCCGGACTGCGGCAAGCAAGGACCTAAGCAACTTAGAGAGACCCTGACTCAAAGTTAAAAAAATAAAAACCAGGTTGAGGATGTGGCTCAGTGGTTGAATGCCCCTGGGTTCAATCCCTAGTATAAATAAAAAGTACTTTTCCTCCATTCTCTCTATCCCTTCTTTCTGGGGCTCAAATTTGATGTTAGATCTTCTTATTATGTTCTCTTTCTGCTTCTTTCACACTCTGTTGGTAAATATGATAAGTATGTTTTAGTGTTGTATTCTAAATTATTTTCTAATATATTTCCCCAATGTATGGGAGACATATCTGGGTCTAAGCTGTAGTTTAACCCATCAGTTGAGTGTTAAATTTCAATAGTTATGCCATTTATTTTATAAGAATGAATGAGTTACTTGAAAAAAAGAAGGGCATTTGCCAGAGGTGTCAGCAAAGGTGAAAAGGCCCAACAGGAATTGTGTGCAGGAGCAGGAGAAAATTTCTAGGATGGAGAGATGTGTTGCTCAAGTCCATCCTTTAGAAAGACTTCTGAGGTCCAGAGAAGTTAAATGTTCTGCCTAGGGTCACACAGCTGCTTGTAGACAGCCAGAATTCCAATATAGGCCCTCTTAATTCTTTTTTTTTTTTTGTACTGGGGATTGAATTCAGGGTCACTGGACCACTGAGCCACATCCCCAGCCCTATTTGGTATTTGATTTAGAGACAGGGTCTCACTGAGTTGCTTAATGCATCGCCATTGCTGAGATTACAGCTTTGTGCCACCAGCCTGGTGCTCTTAATTTTTGATTAGAGTCTGCCAGTGATCAAGGCCATCCTCCTGGGGAAAGTGTTAGGCATTGAAAAGGTTAAGGTGGACCCTGCACTGTCATTCAATACAAACCCTGAAGGGCTGGGGGGTGTAGCTCAGTGGTAGGGTGCTTCCCTAGCTGCAGGCCTTGAGTTGATTCCCAGCACTGCAAAACAAACAAAAATGCTTCCAAAGCCAGACCAGGGGAGGGGTAGTGAGAATATGGGTGGGGTGGCTCCTGCAGAACCCAAGCTCTTCCCAGTTACTGGTTCTGGGAAGAGTTGCTGGAGGGCAGATGCTCAGAACGTCTGGAAAGAGGAGCCAAACTTGGTCACCATCGCCATCTGGTGGGTCACCATGGCTATGACTTGATCTCTGCCTAAAGCCCTGTACGCAGCTGGCACTGAACAAAATCTGAAAGGACAAAGGAGGCCTGTGGGGTGTGTGTGGGGGGGTGCCAGGCAGGCTGACTGGCCTGGACTTAAAGAGTTGTCTGCTCCGCTCATCACTGTTAGGGTCGCCTCCCTGTGCTGGAGCGTGGTACTGTACAGGACTTTGCATGATTTCCAGGAATTCAAGCCTGGATTTCTGGGTGACCAAGGTCACAGGGTCTGGGAATCATCAAGGTAATCTCCACTCCTAATCTGCCACCAGATCACAATCACATAGAGGCTGAGAACTGCCCCAGGCCACCCAACTTGCCCTGCTGCTTTTTGTCTCCCTTCCCAGCCATTCCTCCAGACCTAATGTGGGCAGCTTTTGTTTTTCAAGGTTGGCAGTGGTGCATTTTCGGCCACAGGCAAGGGAGCTTTGCCTTATCTCTGAGTCTTCCAGTTGGACAACACTGATGTGTCTGGGCCCCAGTTCTGTTTCTCCATCTCCTTCAGCCTCTTTCTCTGAATGAATGTATGGTATTTCACATTTGCATGGTGTGTTCCTTCTTCTTGGAAATCCTGTCTCATGATACTTCTAGTCAAGATCAGGTTTGAACATCATCTCCTCTGGGATATATTTCTTTCCTTTGCTCTGGAACTCCATGTTCTCTGGACTCTCTTTTTGTGGCACTAGGGATTGAACCCAGGGGTACTTGGCCACTGAGCCACATCCACAGCCTTCCCCCCACCCTTTTTTTTATTTCTGAGGAATACAAGGGTGCTCAACCACTGAGTCACATCCCCAGTACTTTTTATCTTTTATTTTGAGACAGGGTCTCACTAAGTTGCTTAGGGCCTCACTAAATTGCTAAGGCTGGCTTTGAACTTGGGATCTCTTGCCTCAGCCTCCTGAGTCATTGGGATATGGGTGTGTGTGCCACTGCTCCCCGCTGAACCCTTCTCTTTTCTAGTTTCTGTTTCATGAAATTGATGCTCCTAAGTACTCCTAATCTTTTGTGTGTATGTGGCATTGGGTATCAAATCCAGGACTTCCAGAAAACTAGGCAAATGACCTACAAGAGCCGCACCACCAGCCCTGACTTGTAATCTTTGATTATTTCTCCCACTAGAGCAGAAGCTCCTTTCAGGAACACCTGTCTTATTCTGTGTTCATTGCAATTCAAATATTGAATGAGTGAATGAAACAGATTTTTCTTCACTAAGACCCTTCTTCCAGGGCTGGGGATGTGGCTCAAGTGGTAGCGCACTCGCCTGGCATGCGTGTGGCCCGAGTTCGATCCTCAGCACCACATACAAAGATGTTGTGTCCGCCAAAAACTAAAAAATAAATATTGAAATTCTCTCTCTCCCTCTCTTTCTCACTCTCTCTTAAAAAAAAAAAAAAGACCCTTCTTCCAAGTGGATTTTGGGATAATGCAAAGGTCATCTGAATACCAGACCCACAGAATGGTTGAGACACAGGCAGCGAAAGGGTAATATGTAGTTCAAATGCTTTTATCCATGAGAAAGGGAAGGAACTTACTCTAGGCTCTTTTGTTGGACAGGTGTGGCCCTGAGTTACTAAACTCAGGCTTTGCCCTGCCTGGAACCAGGTACCCTTTAAATGTGTGATGAAGAGGAATAAAAATCAAACTGAGGGCTGGGGTTGTGGCTCAGTGGTAGAGCACTTGCCTAGTATGTGTGAGGCTCTGGGTTTGATTCTCAGCAACACATAAAAAGTAAACAAAATAAAGGTAATGTGTCCATCTACAACTAAAAAAAAAATTTAAAAAAAATGAGCTGCAGATGAATGTGCACAAAATGGATATATTTATGTAAAGTTTTAAAACACAGAAAACAATTGTTATTTTCTTGCTTAGTTTCAATCATAGTCCTGGGAAAGGTAATGATTCCGTATTGGGGTGGGAGAGGCTGAAGTGTTTATAATCAAGTCACAGTGGTTTCAGTTATGTTGTTTGTTCTCAGGCTGATGTGTGAAATCTGAATATATTGAATTATTTTTTATACATCCTTACATGCTTTTAATTTTTATCTAGAGGATCATATCTTGCATGTAATAGTTGTCCTGAAATTTTAAAATAAGTTAATCTTGACCAAGTTTCTGAGTTCATCAACTCTTAACTTTGTGCATGTCCATATGTAAGTTTTTCTATAGTAGATGTAAGTTTTCTGCATGGCAGGCTTCTAGCTATAACAAGCAAAGTTCAGAGGGTAGGAAGCATTTGAGAAAGAAATCTGCCCTATTATTGGAGTACAAAATAAGCAAAGGATAAGACTAAGATTATATATTTTATTTTAGCATGGGCTAAAGAATTCAGGTTTCATTTTATAGACAAGGAACCATTCAATTTTCAAGTAGAAATGGGTTGACCTAATTAGCCATTTTAGCAAGTTCGTTGTGGCAAGGATGGGTCCAACAGGAAATCAGCTGGCTATTTCAACAATCAAGGTAAGTATTACCTGTTCAAAGAAAAGATAAAAAGCAAAGTCAGAGTGAAGTAAGGAAGAGAATCAAGATTGGCAATGAGTAATGACTGAAATTGAGTAATGGGTAGAAAATGGGTCATTATTTTACTTTTATGTTTGAAGTTCTCCATGATTAAAAAAAAAAAAAGACAAAGTTGCTGAATATAGAGGCACATAATTGTAATCCTAGCTACTCTAGAGGCTGAGGAAGGAAGATCGCAAGTTCAAGGTGATTTAGCCACACATTGTTTCAAAAAAAAAAAAAAAAGATATTGGGAGAAGTGTGTGTGAGTGTAGCTAAGTAGATTTTAACTAACTTGCATTGAAGTCCTGGCTTCCATCCCTAAGCAACACACATGCACACATACACACAGACATGCAGAAATGTACATATAAGTTTAATGTATTTAGAAGTGTATGTATGGGCCAGGTGTGGTGATCCCAGTGGCTCAGGAGGCTGAGGCAGGAAGATCATGGGTTCAAAAAACAGCCTCAGCGATTTAGTGAGGCCCTAAGCAACTCAGTGAGACCCTGTCTCAAAATAAAATATAAAAAAGAGTTGGGGATGTGGCTCAATGGTAAAGTGCCCCTGGGTTCAATCCCTAGTACTAAAAGAAAGAGAGAAAGAGAAAGAGAGAGAAAGAAAGAAAGAAAGAAAGAAAGAAAGAAAGAAAGAAAGGAAGGAAGGAAGGAAGGAAGGAAGGAAGGAAGGAAGGAAGGAAGGAAGGAAGGAAGGAAGAAAGAAAGAAAGAAAAGAAGTGTATGGACTGGGTATGGTAGTGCATGCCTGTGATTTCAGCTATTCAGGAAACAGAGACAGGAGGATCACAAGTTCTAGGTCAGTCTGGGGAATTTAGTGAGATCTAGTCTCAAGAAACAAAAAGGGTTTGCTGAGTGTGGTGGCACACACCTGCAATTCTGGTGACTTGCCGAAGTCCGGCTGCAGCAAAATAACCGGGGTGGGGGGGGTTGGGGGGATGGGTGACAAACAACTTGTGTAGATTGATACAGCAGGAGTGGGAGCCTATTATTGTAGGACCGGAGGGGTATATATACATTACACACAGCTTATCTTAATTAACATAAACTAGATACAGCAGTCAACCAATAAGGAATCTCCACACTTAATGGCTCCCTGGCTTTACTTCACAAACCACTCCCTCTGCAAAATGCCAGGCGTCATCTTGACTTGTTTACAGACTCTAACAGAGGCTAAGGCAGGATAGCAAGTTCAAGATCAGCAATTTAGCAAGACCCTGTCTCAAAGAAATTAGAGGTTGAGGCAGGAGGATTGCAAGTTT